TCTTCACATCCGAAACAGCGGATGATCAACTGATGATCCAATAAACACATGTATTTACCTTTCAACAAAGAATTGAATCTTGTTTGCGTGAGACTCACCTGTGTATTGGCAGGAAATTGAGATTGAATTTCCTGTTTCACCTGAATATGAGCCGACAGCGATCCTTCCACCCCCATGCCCGCACCTCTTCTCAAAGAGACTGAACGAGAGTGTGTGTTTGTGTGTGTGTCCCTCTTCTCTTTATCAGCGCTGGTTGCTTCAACTCAACCAGTTCAGCCCGCAAATGTCATCATGTCTGGTCTGGAGGAGAGCCAGACTGCGTCTGACTCATGCCGGTGGAGAATATGTGCCCGAGGTGTTTCCATACATCACCAACTGACACCATGTGTAAACCTGTGTGTTATTCCATGCAACACGGAGCCAAAACAGGATATTTGCATGTGTGAGTTGGTGCCAGGAAGGGAGTTGCCAAGATGTCTTGAATACGGTCAGTCAAGGAACTGCTGCGGCAGAAAATTTCACTGACAAATATCAAGTCAATATTGATTCCCCAAACCTGCATAGCTCATTATAATGAGTGTCTCTACAGCTTGTCATCAGTGTTACAGTGTGAGTGTGATGACTCACGCGTGCTGTCAGCATGTCGGATACTGTTTTAGGCCAGGCAGGGTGAACCACAACCATGCCGATGGCAACTATAGGGCGTGATCTTTGTGATAACTGGTCCCTGTTATCGCTGCAAACAACGGACTCTCCCCGACACTGACTAAGCCCTGAAGTCATTCTGTCCCTGCATTGGTCACAGCACTTCTCTGATGGTTGACTGGGAACAGGTGGCTTTAGTTTTAGTGTTCAATAGGCTGGGTGTGTGAGTAAGTGTGCATCACACGTGTGAGTATTTGTGTCTTCCTAGAAATTACATTTGTATTTAGTCCTGCTAACTTGTTTTCCCAAACCAGTTTGTTAGAAGAAAAAGGGCAAACTTTGTGTGTTGATTGCAGAGCATTTGACCATAGCGCTTTGATTGTGTGCGTGCGAGTGTAGGATTAGAGTTTTATAAAATCTGATCATATTAACAATGATAGTATTTACAGATGACGAGATGAACTTCCCTGTGTGATTAGTGAATCCGCCCTGTTCATCTATGTTGGACACGGCCACGATGCCTCAAAGTACTGCACTTATACCAAACAGATGACTTCACAGAGATTCAAAGATTGCCGTATGACACACAACCTGACCACGACCTGCGACAACTTCCACGAGTATAAACTTGCCGTTTAAAACATGAACCAGAAAGCCCTGATAAAATGGCGAGCACTTCACGTGAGTGCTCATCATCAGACGCACAATAACGGGAAGGTTCCTTGTGATGTGCTGTAGTGGAGATACGTACATTTCTCTTTGTTCCTCTGCACACACTAGCAAATCAACTCATTCTTGTGCGCACACGCTCAACCATTTCTCTCTTTCGTGCTTGATAGGTGTGGGAGGCTGTGTAAACACGGCCTGAAGCCATTCCTTCTCTGAATGAAAACATTAAACTTTACAGTGATCTTCGTAAAAGCCACATGTCAAAGGGTAATTTGAATAAACTTTATATTTCCATGTACAGAGATGCTGCGCCATGCCTTAACTGTGGCTTTAATTCTTTGTTTTTTTTGTTTGTTTTTAAACGAACCAACAGAGCGCTATTCTATTATTTGTAACATTGATTTTGTACATCTGCAGTACGTGAATCCTGAACAGCCAGAAGCACCGCTGTTCACACTGACCTGAAGCATGCAGGATGTAGAAAACGATATCTGCACATCAGCTAACAAACACTCTCAACTGAGACCAAATTGAACTGCTCGAACTATGTCAGCAAGTAGGAAACCACAGAAGTGTTTGTTGTTTCCCTCCAGTGTTATCTCTGAGCACGACTTTGTAAAACACTCCACCAAAGTGCCGAGATGAATGGTATATTTCAGAGATGAAGTGACCTACATGGACTTCCTGGTCCGCAGGGTATTTCCGGCTCTGTGAGAGCAACAAAAAGGCCCATTTAAATTATATCAGTGTAAGCAGACCACCCTGGTATTATCAGTCTTTGACTTTAATCAGCGCGCTTTTTAAAAAAAATCTCAACTCAACATAAATCTCTCTGTTAAAGCGTGATAAATAAACTAAATTGTACTTTGCAAGTACTAAAAGGCAAACAGTGTTTGGGAGCTTAACAGCTTCCCAGCGGTGTAAAAATATACAAGTTAGGAAAATGAATCACAAGGCGATTATGAGATGCGTGACTCAAGAGAAACAGCTGCTCTCACTTCCATGAAAGGAGTGGTGCTGCAGCAAAGACAGAGGGGCTGCTGGGCCTCGATATGTGGGGTATCTGTATCCAGTAAACAGAAGCTTACAAGTGTTCATACCTCAATGATAGAGGAGGCAGCTTGTACGTTCCTTCCTTAAGGACTCATACGAGTGCTCTCTACCATCTCTATGGTCAGGAGACATTAATGTTAAAGAAAACACAGCTTCAGACACAGTTAGCGACTAGCTAGTGAACATAATGGAGTTTTTATCAGCTAAAGAGCCGGATATTCCCCTCGGGGGTAAATAGAAGCCAAAAATAGAGCTAAAAGGAGAGTTCCATACTCTCGCTCTATATTTGCTGGATGAGTTAATAGGCAACTGTTGCCACATCACCTTAAATGGTGTTAAAATTTCAATGTAACAAGAGATAACAAGCCAGCCACATACTGGTGTCAACGTCACACACTTGTTGTGTATCCCGGCCTCCTCTTTAAGAGGGTTTGCAGCAGCATTAACATTTTACTGAACCGCGTCGGAGCAACCATGTTCCCTTTTATTCAAATTTCTGCCTTTTTGTCCTAATTTGGAAAGGTCCGTCACCGATGCCAGTTGCATGTGTTGCAGGTGAAGAGCAGGCGCAACCAACCAACCAACCAACCAACCAACGTATCAACCAAACGTTTGTTATTCTAAGCACTTGCTCCCTGGCACACAGAAGTCATTACTTGATTTGCTGTCTGTAAAAAAACAACAACACTACATCGGGATAATTCACTTTTGGGACTTCACCATGTGGGGGGAAAAAATAGAGAGGCCTACATGTAAAAAGAAAAGCCTCGACTATGAAATTGCGCCGAACCCCATTCAGGCTTTAAAAATCTCACCTGAGTGTGAGATTTGGTTTTAAACCACAACACTGATGCATCATTGGACCGGACCAACGGGCTCCACAGGGAGTCCCTGTGACACGGCAATGATGTTGACACTAAGTCTGTCAACATCCACTGTGACTAGCGTAGCTAATGGAGGTAAAAACACTGGTACCTGAAAATACATCGACATGGACTCACGAAGCCGGGGATCGAACCGCCGATCCTCTGATTGAAGGACACGCACACACACACCTCACCACGTGCTTGTTTGTTGCTTCTTGGTTTAGTATGCTTGTATAATAGGTGTTTGTTGATATATAATATGATTGATTTTTGATCAGTATCATTAAGTTAAATGGTTATAATTGTTAAAGTCTTAAAGAGCGGTTTCTGTGATTATTTTGTGCATAGGTGTTGTGATAATATCAGGTTGTTACAGTCAGTGCTCGGATTCAACTCTTCACTGTTCACTCTATAAATGTGGAGTAGTACTTTAACTGTTGACATTTTGATATTAATAATTTTATTAATGTCAATAATGTATTTTTTATACTTGCTAATAACCAAACCAGCACCAGATCTCCACACCACTAACAAATATCAATGGTATGAGGCCGGGGATAGGGCACTTAGTCTATTAAGCATTTTGACTTCCCGTCCACATTATTGGCTATTGGCAGATTACGATCCATGAAGAAACCACACCAGCTCATAAACAACACACTCAACTCAACCACCATTTGTTGTCAACCACCTGTAGATGCTGACCAGGTAGAAACTACAGACGCACTTTCAACATCTCTCAGAATATTCTTTGCAGTCCACTTGCGCTAATAGAGCAACAACTCTCTGACCATGTAAAGAGTCAGCGGTGGTGATACAGACGACTCCTCAGTGCAAGTGGGGTTGGATGTTGGCCTTTGTCGGTTCCTAGCTACTAAATGAGTTACAGATGAATTATCCTGCCCATCCACCACAAAGGCCTTTCAGCTGCAAAAATGAGTTTTGCCCATTTCCACTACAGCATCCGCAGTCCATTTACTCACCACAAATCACACTCATTAGGAGATTTCAAAGGAAGTGCTGGGAAATAACTAAACGTTATCCATCATCAATAAACAGGAGTTGTCTTGGTGGCCATCATGTACAGTATGTCCCTTTGCTTTATCACCTCACGCCTCAGGGTTAATAAGAGCTTGCTCTTGACTTGTTTCTGAAGAACAGCTGAATGACGCGGGTTCATACATGTTATAGGCCCTGTCAAAAGAATACACAGTTACATTGGAACAGGTTAGACAAGCGAATACAAGGAAATGAGGCAGAAACATGATATGATGCATAATGAGGCAGATTACATATATGTTCGGGACAGAGACAGGTCTGTGGGCGGCTGTATAGTTGACAGTCAGAGTGCGACGCAGGTGGATTCAGGCAAATGTTTAAATTGGATAGGATTAGTGATGTCCACGATGTAAATAAGCTATTGAGCTTTATTGTGTTTTTATCCTTTTGACATCAAATGATGCAAATAAGATTCATCTGAACGTCGTATATATTTTTCAATATATAGTCAATAAAAAAGTAAATTCACAGTCAGAGCAACCAACTAACAAGAGCACAACGTTCAGTGATAAATGCACGTCTCTTTTCTTTTTACCCTCCAGTTCTTTTTTTCATTTACTGTAAATGCGTGGCCGCATGGTTGATGATGTCATCGGTGGAGGAGAGTCGAAGACACAGGCAACATGTAAAGCTCCTCAACCACTCAGGCTCCGAAGAAGCAGCCACCTGCTGCAGTGTCCTCCCACTGCTGTTACGACATCTGGCAGACGTGGCAGAGCAGACCGAGAGACAAGATCAACACACCAGCTGCAACGCTCCGACACCAGACAAGGAACTCAGAAGGTAAGAAAGGAAGACTTGAAATTCTCACTGTTGCTAAGGGTGAAGTAACTGACAGATTATTACAGTTACCGTGCGTAGTTATAATGTGACTTTTCACATCCAGTATTTGAACACATTTTCAGCTTGCAGACACTCTTTTTCAATCAAAAGACAAACAAGAGAGACAGTGCAAACAGGCAGTTAGCATGGATGAATAATATTCATTTATGACATAAAGTTCTAAGTTCTAAGTTCTAAGATGCGTATCTACTTTCTGCGTTTCTGTCTCATCAGCAGAATGCAGAGACTATATCTGACAACAATCTCCCACATTAAAGTCACCACACTCAGCAGCAGCCAGTGTGTTTTTTAATTGTTTTTTTGGTTTCTATCCTTCACTCTTTTGCACACATCACCATGCCTTTCCTCTGTGTCTCTGCAGCTGCAGGTGTGACTTAAAATGGAGTCAAATCTGACAGGCAACGTCAAGAGTAACTCTACCGAGTGTCCGCCCATCGACGACTTCCGCAACCAGGTTTACTCCACGTCCTACTCCCTCATCACCGTGCTGGGCCTGGTCGGCAACGGCTTCGCCCTGGTGGTGCTGATCAGAACGTACCGCCAGAGCTCACCCTTCCACATCTACATGCTGAACCTGGCTGTGTCCGACCTGCTGTGTGTCATGACGCTGCCGCTGAGAGTTCTCTACTACGTCAACAAGGGCCAGTGGAACCAAGGCGATTTCCTTTGCCGCGTCAGCTCCTACGCTCTCTATGTAAACCTCTACTGCAGCATCTACTTCATGGCTGCCATGTCTGTCACCCGCTTCCTGGCCATCGTCTTTCCCGTGCAGAACATGCGGCTGGCGACGGAGACCCGCGCTCGCCTGGTGTGCGTGGGTGTCTGGGTGTTCATCTGCCTTTCATCCTCGCCCTTCCTGATGTCGGGCCAGCACACTGACCCCATCACAAATAAAACCAAGTGCTTCGAGCCACCGAAGACTAGTGGTAGCAGTGTGGATAGACTGGTCATGCTGAACTATTTGTCCCTGGTGGTGGGCTTCGCCCTGCCTTTCCTGGTCATCCTGCTCTGCTATGCTGGCATAGTCCGCGCCTTGCTGTCCCGCACCAACTCCGCTCGACGTCAGCAGGGCGCGAGCACCAGAGCCATCCGCATGATCGTCATCGTCCTGCTGACCTTCCTGATCTGCTTCATGCCATACCACGTGCAGCGCACCATCCACCTGCACTTCCTGTCGTGGACAGACACCCCCTGCTCAGAGCAGGTGACCATGCAGAAGTCGGTCGTGGTGACGCTCTGCCTGGCCGCTTCCAATTCGTGCTTCGATCCGCTGCTTTATTTTTTCTCGGGAGAGGGTTTCCGCAGTCGCTTGTCCTCCCTGCGCAACACACTGAAGGCCAGCAGACTGAACCGCATAGCCAGAAAAAAGCCCGTCACAGTCTCTGCGGAGAACCACCAGCTGAAGGACAGTTAATTTGCACTAGACAAACGAGCATCTCGGGATCTGTTTGAAGGAACACTTCACCCACAACAGTATCATTTGTACATCACTTACTCGCCCCGTGTTGCCTTTAATTCTCTAAGAAACCTTTTTACCTTGCATGCCTCTACAGTGAAAGGAGAATACGACTGGTTAAATGAGAATTTAATTATAGGGCACGATATGCGTGAGAGTTTGTAAACAGATGTTTGGATATAGTTTTGCTGTCGTTAAAGCCACCCCCCATTTACCTCAATTCAACAAGACTTTTTGGATTTTTTACGAGAAAAAAAATAATTTCTTCACAAATTCAAGGTAACACGGAGCGTAACTGATATACAAATATTCATCCAGTGGGTGTAGTATTCCTTTAAGGAGCTCAGGATGGGTTGTGTTTACACACATGGAAGGAGTTGAGAGAAACATAAGGAGGAGATGAACGGAAGAATAAAGTGTTACCAGTAAGGGCATGAAGAGAGTATTTAAACAGCGAAGTAGCAAGTCTCAGTCTCATTTATTATTCCAAAGAATGACAAGTGTTCAATATTGTAGTGATGTTGTTCTGTATTATCATTATGGCAGTAACAATTAGCCTATTGTGTCCCAAAAGTTACTCAAACCGTGGAATTACAAATATGAATTCACAGTATAAAGATGTATGAATGTATTGTAGATACTTTTGTAATATGTTTTTTATTGAGTCTATCAGTAACATGTCACAGGGACAGTGAATGGAGAATCTTGTCACTGAGTCACAGCCTGCGTATGAAACTAAACTATGCTGTGTTGACTACTGTAGACCTTTACTTTTCTTCTTCTGGTTATTCCTCTATCATTGTTATTTTTTAGCGTTTTTTTGTAGCAATTTTAATGTTGTCATGACTGTAACCTTTTTTTTATTATGAGTTATTGTCATTTTCCATGCTTATCATAATTACTTTAACTCAATTTGGATTCAAAATTGTTGTTTTTGTGCTTCTGATTTTTTTAATTTTGTGCATCTTTTCTGTAAATACTATTGATGATGATGATGAATTATAATGTTCTGAACCGTGTACCTTTACGGGAGTAGTTTGATTTGCTTTTTTTGCTCTGAAGAGTAAAATGAGAAATACGACACCACTCTCATAACTGCGGTTAATATGAAATTACAGCCGACTCACGCCTACCTAAGCTTAGTTTAGCATAATTACTGTAAACAAGTGAAACCTCTGGGCTCTCCAATTAACACGTTGCATACCATTTGTTTAATCCATAGAATTTATGCATGTTTCCAATCTTTATGCTAAGCTAACACAGCCGGCTACTGGCTGTAGTTTCATATTTTCTGTGCAGATGTGAGAGTGGTATCATAGCAAGAAAGTAAATGAGCATATTTCTCAAAAAAATATAACCATGCCTGAAATGATCCTGCTGTATATCAGTCGTGTGCAAACACTGTTTCATCTCATGTATGATAACCGCATCAATAAATCATCCAATGCATGTCAGTTCAGTACGATCACATGACACCCTCACTGTGAGAGAAGTTACCAACTCCGTCCACTGGGTGTCGCACCGGCACACGCGTTGTTGTCACCCTCCTCCAAATCATCTTCTTCATTGCTTTCCTATTATTCATCTCGGTTTCTCATAGATGAGAAAAAACAATGAGCAGCAGCACTGCAAGATGAGTTGTGTTGCACTGTGACAAATTGAATTTGTGTAAAAAAGTCTTAAAACTGTCACGGTACTCAAACGCATTAGCTGAAACTATAAAAAAACAAAAACATGCTACATTTATAGAAAAGGGTTAGAGCATCTGTCTATACAGCAAATCAAAAAGCACGACCAAAATGTAGCTCCCCTGTCAATTAGAGATACAAAACAACACTGAGAAACCAGACTGCTGAGGCCGACCCTGCTGATTAGAACATAGAGGGCCATTGTATTACCACTTCATAAACAGATAATATCGAGCACATGATCGGCTCCCTCCTCCATCTGCACAAAAAGACGTTTGTTTCAGTCTGCAAAGCAGGACCATCTCCGAGATGGGAGCCTGTTGTTGCAGCTTTTGTGTACCGCTCGGCGGACATATACTCAGCATGCAGGAAGTAAGGAAAGTACCCTGCTCAATCCTTCCTCGTTTGTTTTCTAAAGAGGTTACGGATAACGGTACACCCCAGTGCATTAGGAACATTTCCTCTCTTTCATCTGTGCTCCAGGTTTGCTGCACTCCAAAAAGTGATTTGGTTGAAGCATTGATTCGTTTTTGGGAGAGGCTAAGATTAAAACTCGATCGCTCTCGGGGAGGAGCAGACTCAGCTTTGCAACATGTGTTAATGCCCGCCATATGAGTACAGAAAACAGACAGAAGAGCTCTCCAGGAGCGCTGCTTTTACCCTGGGTCCTTTAATTCCTGTATACATGGGAATCCCAATGGCAAATACCTTGAAAGGCGCCTATCAGGCCTTAAGATGTCGCAATGTAATGATGTGCGCCCCTTCAATACAATACATCAGGAGGAGTTCAGTCTGTCTTTGAATAACATTTTTGGCCACTTGAAAGCAGCACAACAGGCTGTAAACAACAGGATATAATCACCTTGTAAAGAAGAACGACATAGCGAACGTGTCGGCAAACGGCTGCCTATTTGTACATCCAGCTGACACAACAGCATTAGCATTAACACTAGCGTCACAATTAATGTATGTCCATTATTCATGTTCCTTTCAGATCTGTTTGGTCTCCATCAACAGCTGGCAGAAATGTCCCAATGTGTTCATCAACTGTTTGCTGTCTGGCAATGACCCAGACCCTGAATCTGACGATAAAGTTGTTTTGTTCTACAAGCGTTGCTGGAGATTTGTCCTCCATGTACATTTTCCGAAGGTAAGTAAGTGAAGTTGTGCCAGAACGCCCCCCACTCTGGTGTTTGGGGCTGGGCAGGTGGGTTAAGTGGGTTTTTTCACTGAGAACAGCTGCCTGCTTTGACTGAAAAATGACGCTAATAAGAGTAAACCAAAACGTTAAAGTTTTGGATCATAAAACTGAAATGAAGAGCTGAAAAGTGCTAAAAAAAAGCTGTGAAGGGCTTAATGGAGAAGAACTATCTATTTCTTCCCTCAGCATATATATAGTCATCCACCTTTAAATATGGATTAGGGCAGCTTTAAATATGCATACAGTTCAAGTCTCCGGTTATTATCATGGTCTTATAACCTACGGTCGATGCAAATAGAAAGAAAATTTCTCCCTTAAGGAAACAGCGTAGACGTGGGAAAGTTGCAGAAAATTGCCTGTTTCTTCACGCTTGTTCACGGCTGGCCGGCAGTTGAGCTCTACTACAAACCTGAAGTTTTGACGCAACCAGACTTGATTTAACACACATGGCCGACATGGCCGTCCGCCTCACTGATGACTGTTGGAAGTTTAGAAGGAAGCAGACCCAGAGTCCCTAGTGAGGCCTGGAATTTGTATGTGGACACAGCATGAATCCAAAATGTCTGCTCAAGAGAGCAGAATCTCCATCATTAGATCGTTTGTCTGGTTGTTATCCTCAGGTACAAAGCAGGTCAGTAACCATAACCAAGTCTTGTGCAGCTCACTGAAGTCACATGACGCCTACTGCTGTGTGTGTGTGTGTGTGTGTGTGGTCGCACACATCTATGCCCTTATAATAACCACTCAACCAACATCAAAAGCCACGTGCAGAGTGTATGTTCTTTGGTTAAAGGCCAGGCTGATGTGTTATGGTCGCTGTTGAGTTCAGGTTGGAGGAGAGTGAGGCAGAGAAGCAGCTCACAGATGAGTTGATAGCAGTCTGGAGCTTTTAGAGCAGCATGGGTCGAGCTATGTCAGGCTATCACTCAGCCGCACCTCAATCATTCGTCCACTGCATATTAAAAACAGGCAATAATACATCCGACTGCCCGCTCTGTCACATTGTGTGTCGCCAAACACGCAAGCCCGTTTTTGTTTTATTCCAAACGTACTCCCCCTGCAGACCCGCCCTATCTACCTCGAACAGGAAGCTGTGTGAGCAGTGCAATAGTGTCCACGACAGTCATTGTGTATTCCGCTGGACGTAATTTCAGCCACCAGTGTATTATTTTACCATTACAAGAGCGGCTGAGAACAAGCAAACTACCGCTGAAGAACCCCGCGCTGTGTGTCCGCGCTGTGACGCACACACAGAGAGAAAGGCCCCTCAGTTTGCTTGACTTTTAAAATGTTATCCCGCAATCAGTTCTCCAAATCCTGTGAAGCCTTCTGGCAGTTGTTAAAAAAAGTTTTTAAAAATCTGCTGTTTGTCTCAGAACAAACAAAGCTTCAGAATTATTGCATTTTTAAAATGCAAGTCTTGTCATTTATTTTTTTCAGTACAATATTTTTTTCAGTTTGATATGTCATTATTTAACCAGGGGGGGTCAAGGAAATAAAATATCAAGAAAAAAACAAAAACAAAGCACATGTTTTATACCATAGATACACATTACGATTTTGAAAGAAGGAAAACAGCGCTTTGAATCCTAGAAATAATCTATAGCATATATTTCTCTGCACAAAAGATCATTTATGTTATTTTCAATTGCAAATATCCAGAGTCGGCTGTCTCAATCCCATGTATTGTATTTAAAATTATTGATGACCGGAGCCAATCGGCTCCTTTCTATCACACCTCGCAGATTTTTTTTATCATCTGTTAGAAAGCTGGACAAAGCCTTAATGGTTGCAGATTTTAATCTTATTGATGACACTATATGTGACACGGCCTCTGAATTTCTCAATCTCATGAGTCCATCGATTTAAAAAAACACGTATCTGGTCCTACACACACACACACACACACACACACAGGTGATCAGACTCTTGACCTTGTTTCTACACATGGCTCCGACCTGGTCTCCTCCCGGCTTCCTGATTACAATTTACCTCACCTGCCCAGTCAACCCGGCTGCCTTCCATCAACTCATCACTCAACAGTATATCTACCCCGGTTCTTCATCCACTCTTCGCCAGATCGTTGTTTCAACCTCAGTGGTAGTTTGCTTGTTCTCAGCCGCTCTTGTAATGGTAAAATATATTTACGACTATGTGTCCGTGTTGTGAACCCGAAACTCTCGTGTGGTTAAAACTATGCAGTAATGAGGAACTTGTAGTTGAAAGTCTCATCTTACCTTGAAACCATAACTGATTCCCAGTTGAACGCACCTGGCAGAAACTATAATGAGTAAATGAGCAGATCAAGGCAGCCTGTGTCAAAAGACCTCTACTCCCCTATGTATGATTTATCTGAGGAGTGGACCGCTGTATGTATAAAATGATTCCACAACACTCTGTTTAGATATTACTGCAGAGTTTTCCAAGTGTTTTTTTCATTGTTTTGACCCTGTCTTCCTGTGCCCGTAGTTCGGTTCATCCTCATGCCTCGTCCTGCCTGGTTTCCACCATCGCCCTCTCGTTCCTGGATTCTGTTCCCTGACAGTTTCCCCTTTGTGTCCTCCCTGAAATAAACCCTTCCACTCTCGTACTCCCTGGTCTGTGTCTGTATTTGGGTCCACCACCACACCCCGTGATACTTGCTGGCTCCAAGGATTGATGTGTCAGTGACCACCAATTTAATTTGATAGTAGTTTTACAGCCTTGGTGCCGTCTGAGATGCACCCGTTTCAAAAACGAGGCTGCGGCTGTCAATTTCAAATGTCGAAGGACAGAAAGATTGTGGAAAGCCAAGTAGCTCAAAGTGCACAGACTGCATCTCGGAGAGCTAATGGGTACTCTTAATGACGTGGTGAAGGCTGAGAGATCTTCTTATTTCACAAATCTAATATCTTCCAACAAGAGAAACCCTAAAGTCCTGTTTGAATGCTGTAAATTCTGCTTGTGTCTCAAACACTGACTTCAATAACTCTTAATTAATTCATCAATAATGTAATAAATGTCAGGGCAAACATCTCACCCTCTTCCAATCCAATCCCATCCATCCATCTATGACTTCTCTGGCAAGAACCCCTCCCTGCCAGAGACCTACAGGCCTTTTCCTAAACTCCCTTTCTTTTCAAAGATTTGA